TGTCCAGTCTACAAAGAGGAGGGTCAACACAGAGGAATCATTTCCTCCATGCTTCCAAGCGAAGCCAACCATGGTCTAGCAGGACCTTTGACTTATCTTCACATAGGAGGAACTGGTAAAAGAAAGGAGCTGGGGGCTCCTCCCAAGCCCATGTGACCCCTGAGGAACAGATCCTCAAACGACCTTAAGAGTAAAAATAAATTGGTTTATCTAGACCAAATGTATGGCCTTAAACACCCAAAAGGAAAGTATAACCAAAGATGAAAGGGACCAACATAACTTCATAAGAGACCATATGTATAGCTAAAGGCTACATAACAAGCAACAATGACAGACAGGCAATACCTTCTTTTGAGTTGTTGGCCAGGGAGGCCAAAGTGATTCCCAGATAGTAATCCAGCATAGAACTGGGAAAATGAACAGCAGACCCCAATCTTATCCAAAGGAATATTGACAACTGATTACCACTAGATGAGGAGCAGCTGGCCCTCCTTAAAGACCTCTAGATAGGCTGACTAGATTCACCAGATGTACAAGTAGTGGGGAGTGGCTGGGGTGCTGACAACACAGTAGACAGTAGCAGGGATATGAGAGTATAAGGGCTCTAGTGGGGGGAGGGAGGCTATGGGAGGGTGCTATCTGGGAAGTGGTTGTACAAAAGAATAAAAAAATTTCTTCAAAACATAAAAAAATTAGGAGGCTATCTTAGAGTCTAAAGCAAAATGGGAAACTCATTATTCTGACTTTTGTTTAATTTTTTTTTCTATTTTGTTTATTGTGAATTTCCTTTCATTTTGTTTTTAATTTTATTGCATTCAAATGTTTTATTTTAATAGCTAAAAAAATTCCCCATCAATGGTCCTGTACTAATTTTCTGTCTTCTATGAGTACTCTGTTTTAAACACACTTATCTAATGATTCAATGCCAGTATCCACATATATGGTGTTTGTTGTTCTGGTTTGTGTTACCTCACTCAGAATGGTTATTTCCAGCTCTATCCATTTGTCTTTGAATGTCATAATTTCATTTTTCTTTAAAGCTGGACAATATTTCATATTTATTCTATGATATTTTATTTTTTGAGGCTGTTGTGAATGGGATAGTTTCCTTGATTTCTTTCTCAGTATGTTTGTTGTTGGCATTATGGGAAGGCTACTGATTTTTTTTGTGTTAATTTTGTATCCTGCTATTGAATGTATTTATCAGCTTTAGGAGTTTTGTGGAGTCTGTAGGGTCTTTTATATATAGAATCACATTATCTGCAAATGAGGACACTCTGACTTCTTTTCCTGTTTTAGTCCCTACATCTCCTTTTCTTGTCTTATTGCTCTAGTTAAGGCTTCAAGCAGTTTATTAAGCAGGAGTGGAGAAAGTGGATATTCTTATCTTGTTCCTGATTTTAGTAGAAATGCTTTTAATTTTTATCTGTTTAACATGACATTACCTGTGGGATATCAAACTTATTGATTTATATATGTTGGACCATCCATGCATCTCTGGGATGAAGCAGGCTTGTTCCTGGTAGGCGATTCTTGATGTGTTCTCAAATTCAGTTGCAACCATTTTATTGAGAATTTTTGCATCTATGTTCATCAGGGAGATTGATCTACAATTCTCTCTCTTTTTTGGCTGGGTCTTTATCCCATTTTGGTATTACGGTAATACTGGCTTTGAAAGAGAATTTAGATGTGTTCCTTCCTTTTCTATTTTATGAAATAATTTGAGGAATATTGGGCTAATTCTTTAAAGGTCTAGGAGAATTTTGTGTGGAATTCATCTGGCCCTGAGCTTTTTTCAGTTGGGAGATTTTTTTTATTACCACTTTTATCTCATTGGATAGTATGCATCTATTTAAATTATTTATTTCATCTTGATTTATCTTTAGTGGGTTTAGAAATATATCCATTTTGTTTAGATTTTCCAGTTTGGTAGAACTGGAAAGTATGTCCTTTTGATTCTATGAATTTCCTCAGCATCTTTTGTTATCTCTCTCTTTTAATCTCTAGTTTCATTAACTTTGATCTTCTTTCTCTTTTGGTTAATTTGGCTAAATGTTGGTCAATCATCTTAATCTTTTCAAAGAACAAACTCTTTGTTTTATTGATTTTTCTGTGTTTATTTTGTTTCTGTTTCATTAATTTCAGCCCTGATTTGGATTATTTCTTCCCACCTACTTTTCTTGGGTGTTGTTCTAGTTTCTCTAAGGCTTTCAGATGTATCATTAAGTTATTAATTTGAGAACTCCCAAATTTTGGACATGGGAACTTAGCACTACAAAGTCTCCTTCTAGGACTGCCTTTATTGTGTCCTGTAGATTTTGGTATGTTGTGTGTTCATTTTCATTCAATTCTAGGAATTTTTAAATTTCTGTTTTGATTTCTCCCTTGACGCAGTTTTCTTTTTTCTGTGTTCCTCTAGTCTGTCTTGGCTGCCACAGTCAGACAGACAGAAAACACGAGGAGACTTTCTTCTTGCATCTGTAAGGGAGACCTTAGAAGAAGACAGTAACTGCCTAGGGTCTGTCAAATAGATGTACAACCCAATTTTCATTGAGTGGTTTGTTGTCTAGTCTCCATAAGTTTGTGTAATTTCTGCAGTTTCTATTCCTATTGATGTCCACCTTTATTCTTTTGTGGTCCTATAGCGTGTAGGATGTTATTTCAACTTTATATTCCTATATTGGTTGAGACTTGCTTTGTGTCCTAATGTATGGTTAACTTTGGAGAAAGTTCCATGAGAAGAAGGTGTATTCTTTATTGTTTTAGTGGAATGCTCTGTAGCTGTCTATTAGGTTCATTTGATTTATGATGTTATTTAGCTCCAATGCTTTCAGGGCTGTTCTTGCAGAAGACCTGGGTTTGAACCTCAGCACCCACATGGCAGCTAACAACTGTCTGTAACTCCAGTTCCAGGGAATTAGACAGCCTCTTATGTCCTCTGTGGGCACAGCATGACACGGGTTCACTTTACCTACATGCAGGCAATACACACATACACATAAAATAAAAATAAT